CCCCCCCCCCCCCCAAATATCAGCTTCGAGATCAAGAAGACAAGTTGTTTTGACAGAGCTGTTTCACTAATCTCCTGACTGATCCACTTTTGTGGTATGGCACATTTGACAGTGTTCAAATTCTTTTTTTTTTTTTTTCCCCTCATTCAGAAATTCCTGGTTCTCATAAGGATGGCAGGCAGTAGCTGAAAGCATAACAACAGCTCAGCACAATCTATATCGCTTGCTGAAATGGTTTCACCACATGAAAAATGGAAAATATGAAAGCCTAAAGCTATGTAACATCAAGTATCTCCTCCACACTTAGCTTCTTGACAGGGTTCTTGTACAGCGAGTCTCTCTCTTCTGCATTTTCAGAGCAGATTTTTCAAAATGAGCTGAAATGGAACAATTATGGACTATCTAAAGAAAAAAAAACCCTCTGAAGTGCCATAATCATCTAAAGGGAAAAAAACTCTGAAGAGCTGTAATCGTACTTTGCTCCAGTTCCCCATGACCAGTTTCCAGAATAAATGCTGCTTCGCTCTGGTTAATCTCTTTTAAGATGATTCATGGACAGCAACACTGCCAACACCTACATCTCTTTCACTTTCAGGTTTCTCACACTCATCCAGTTGCCCTTGTACTTACCCTTGAACTGGAATGGTTTCACCATTTGGGAAAATGACCATTAACTCAAGGTGGTAAAAACCTATTTCTTGGGCATCATTAGCAAAAATGAAGAATTGATCTCTTAACTGTCAATAGCTACTAGACTGCTGATAGCTTTTTATTGAGGGAAACTATAGGATTTTTTCCTACATTAGAAAAATGTTTTAAAAACATAATTGTTGTCATAGGTGTATCAATTGTGTACTCAGCAAAACAGGATGAGTAGCTGCTCAGTAAGTATTTATTCAGTGGTACATACTGGAGCAAGAGAATGTGCTCTGATCTCCACTTACCAGCTTAGGTTACTTACCCAACTTTTTCTTCAAATATTTAAGAGCCAGACGTTTTTTGTTAGATATGAAGTTGTTTCACATTCCACTTATTAAAATCC